TGTGGAAAGTATAATGCTCATGGTGGCACCCAGTGGGCAGTTCTTTAAGTGTGAAATCATCTCATCCCATTTCATTTTGAAATAAGAAAATTAGTTCCTACTTCATTTTCAAGGCCCCGTTCACTCACTGTATTAAGGCCAACAAACTTCACTGCTTTGGTATTTAAATGGTATATACTGAATGTCACTTACCCATATGGTTCCTGGGCTCACATTTCAGTGACCTAATGCAACCTGTAATACTAGTTTCTTAAAAGATCCAGACTTTACCCTTAATTATGGTATGATTTATTCAAAGTCATACTATTAAGAAATCTTCCACTCAGCCTAAACTTTATAGAATGCTATTGGCAGCAATCTGACTCATGAAGGATTTGTGGGATGCCTAAAAGTGAATTAGAATGATCTGCTAATTTCCCAGTTACCCAGGACTATAGCAGGTGGAGCACACAGGTGGGGTCATGGGAAGTGTTGGAAGTGATCTTATGAGCTCCTCTTCCCCACACTTATTTTATTATTAAGGATTCTAGGATCATAGGATTAGTAGATATTTGTTAAAAGACTGAGTCATTCACCTGTAGATGACATCAATGAGTTACATTCCCTTGTGTAGTTCACCACACTTCTCCTATTGCCTTGCGTAACTTTCTTATATATAGGTATTTGCCCCCGAAATTAATGTATTTCAATTCTTCAATTGACATGTGACATTCTCTCTTTTAAATTTGCTGCACTGACTCCGCCTTTTTTTCTTTCTTCCATCATATCTGTTCTCTATGACAGGAAAATCACCAAGGAATGCAACTGGGCATGACATTAAGCTCCAGAAGAGCCAGAATCCTGTCCACCACTACATCCCTAGCAGTATGTACTGTATGTAGCACACAAGAGGTACTCGCTGAATAAGTACTCACGAGTGTATGAATGAATGAATGAATGAGCAACCAATAAACAAAAGAATTGGTGCTACAGGCCATGGCAGAACAAAAGAAAATAGGATAGAATATTATTCTGAAATAAAAGGCTGTGGAAGAGGACTGCATGTTGTATTGGATGAGCAGGCTCCCGACCTGTAACACTGAAGACATGCCTGGATTTGCTGGGAGGAGCAACTGAAATAACATGAGTGAAAGCTCCATGAAAATGGTAAAGCACTACTCAGAGTATCTTGAATATGACGACAAAGAATTGTGAGTAAAACAAACTAAAGCTGACAATGAAGCTCCAGCATGGAACTGCAGTGACCACAGGGTCAACCCCGGGGCAGGGGTGCAGCTGAGATCTACCGAATGAACTCGTGGCCCTGGTTCAGGCCTCACGGAATGGAGATGGGTCAAGGATATCGCTGAACTTGGGAATCTGGAAAGAAAGCATTTCATTGCAAAGAAGCTGCAGATACAGAAGCATTCTTTTTCTTGATTTTATTATTAGATGTTAAACTGATAATACAGAAATTGACATTTACTCAGGTATAAACTTTTACTCAGGTATAAACTTATACTCAGGTATAAACATTTACTCAGGTATAACTTTTCATTTTTCAAAGTTATTAAGGTTAAGGTGCATGCCCAGATAAATAAGTATAGGTCAGTCTCCTTTGAATTTCTGGATCCTTTCCAAAAATTATTCTAGCCTATTCACCATTCCCTGCATGATTACAGTTCAAATTAGAAACTTGAGAAATGGCAAATGGCCAGACAGGGTACAGATCAAATAAATTTAGCTACATGTGACCTTTTTCCAAATGAGAGCATGTATTCCCACATATGACTCCTAAAAAAATTCTGATACGTAGGCATTCTCATTACTTAGTGAGATTTTAGAAAAGACTTCTAACATATAACACAAAGGAATTGTTGCGTGGTTTTAACGTACACTGACTTTTCCAGGAACACATTTACCATGTTAATCAAGGCATAACTGTAAGATTTTTGTTCAAAACTTTACCAAGAGTTGTCCACCATTTCAGAAAATCATATCCAATGACAACACTGCTATTGATGTTGCCAACACAACGCACATTGATCTGCATTTGTAGCTGGGTGTTCTACATACAGGTGCAGGCGTCTGATAATTTAATTTTATCTTCCATGATAGTTATTTTTTTTTTTTTTTTTTAAGATTTTATTTATTCAGTTTTTTCCCCCCAAAGCCCCAGTAGACAGTTGTATGTCATAGGTTCACATCCTTCTAGTTGCTGTGCGTGGGACTCGGCCTCGCGTTGGACGGAGAAGTGGTGCCTCTGGGCGCTCCTGGGATCCGAACCCGGGCCGCCAGCATCAGAGCGCGCGCACTTAACCGCTAAGCCACGGAGCCGGCCCCTTTCCATGATAGTTATATCCAAGCTTTTTTTATTGAAATATGTTTTATTTTATTAAAAACTTCTTTCTTTTTTTCTGCTTTATATTACAGGTAGAGTACTATATTCATTGTTTAAAAGTATATATGCAACATAAAAAGTATATATGCAACATAGATCATATTAACTTTGAATTTTACTTCAGAACAACCAGAAGAAAATGTTTGTTATAAAAGGGGGCACTGAGTCTGAGAGCGTTGTGAGAACCATTAATCTCGTCCAACCTCCTTACTCCACAATGAGACTAAGGCTCAGAAAGGTTACTTGTTCAAGACCACAAAGCAAGGTGATGACCCTATTGGAACCGGAGCTCCCTGAACACCAAGTTCTCCTTAGAGCACACTGCATTGCCTCAAAGTGATGACTACGTAAATGCACAGAGGGAAAAAAATTAACCTCACATTTCAGAATGAGCTGGTAACCATTAGACCCAGGGGGCAGGGACTGAGGTGGTCTCTCCCTCGTCTCTACCTCCCAGCACAAGGAACAAGACGCTTTAGAGAAGTTTGGGTTTTTTTCACCTGAAAAACCTCAGGTGCTGGTTTTGGCACTGAGCTTACGCAAACTGATCTATGGCCAATTCAGAGCTTGTCTCTAAAATGCACAGGGCAAGAACAGGCATTTGTAATGCTTGTGTTTAAGGTTGGATTTAAAGTGATAAAAAAGTAGAAAGATCATCACTGATCTTCAAAAAGCCACATTCTATTATTATCTTGAACTTTCAACAGTACTTCACACTGAAGAAATTAAGGGATGTACACTTAATTTAAAATCAGTAAGTGGTGTCTCTAGTTTTAGGCCTTGAGTTTAGGTATTTTTAGTCAGATGGAATTCAGAGAAAGTCTGAATTTGCGAACAACTAGGTGGAATAGATAAAGGGCACGTCCCAGGTAGCTTTTATATATAACACGTGCATTAAAACAGTATGAGACATTCCCAGAAGAAAAACACAAGGTAATTAACAGTTATCTCAAAGCTGGCTTCTATCCAAATCACTGCTCCACATTCACGAAGCGAGAAAATTCTCTTGAGTTAGTGGCTTCGACATACAGCACTCAACTAAATCAAACTGGGCCCTCTCAAAGTAGGAAAAGAGAAGCAAGCCAACAAACTATATTCTCTTAAATAAATCATCAACATCTACATTTAGCCTAAAGTCATTGCTACTGCTACAAGTCCCCCAATCTGAGATTAGAGCTGCCTTCCAAACCGTAAAAGAAAATTAAAACACCAATATTGTTTTCACATTAAAACTAATACCAGCAATTATAATATGCATAATCAGTTTGTAAACCAAAATGACTCATCTTGTCTTTTGGACTCAGCATGGTAAAGATTTTCCACTTTTGTTCATATAGTTGCTATAAAAGGGCCTAGTATTTCAGGATGAAAATCCTGAACTTGTAATGGACTTTGCTTTGAATGAATATGATCCTAAACACCTATGCAATCATTTTTATCAAATTAATGGAATTTGTATCTATAAAATAAAATAAAATGCAATATATCTGAAGTTACAAACGTGCTAAGCCAAAACATTTAACTCTCTGTGTGCAGCAATACACAGAATTGCCTTTCACATTATCTTAAGTGAGGTCTGAGGCAGACACAGCAGGCAGATGGAGGCACTGGGGAAGCTGGCTGTTGCAGATGTACTGTGGCAGAGGAACATGGCTGATGGTTTTAAAACCCTAGGGAGAAAAATAAACAGTTCATTATTGTGGCCACTTTCTTAGAATTTCTTTTGGGAGGGCCTAAAGGAAAGCAGGGCAGGTAATCTAGGCTTACGTCGATAGGATCTCTCAATTGCGGGCTCCTCGTACCTCACCCATGGGACCTGCACAGGTATCATCAGTGAGAAGGCCCAGAAAGGAAAGGTGTGAGGTGGAGTAAAAGATGTTCTCTAGGGAGCAAGACATTCATTTTCTGCACAACGCTGAGTACTAAAAAGAACAGTAAAAAGCAGAAAACTTGTTCCATCTAACCCAGCCCACTTACTCGGCAATCCGCATCTTATTGGAGAAGGACTCCGGCTTCGAGATATCTGGAAAACATAAAAGTGTAACGTGAATTACACAGTAGATGGAGCTCAAAGAATGAACCTTTTGGATGTTTTTTCCCTAAAACCAGTTAAATAGTTGCTCTGAGGCACTTCAGAACTATGATTTTTCCCCGTAAGTTTGAACATTGCGATTACATGTATACTTCCTTAGTGAATGGGCACTCAATTTAGTTTAAATTATATTATTAATTAAAAGCTGGGCTCAGTGGCCTATTGTTGCTTTTTGTTGTTGTTTCTTAATGGTTGCTAAAGACTTTGAGATTGGATGCTCAGTGGCCACGTTGAATTCAATGCTTTCCAGAAAATAATAATAATAATTATTATTATTATTAAGGAATTAAAGCTAAAACGATCAAATACTCTCTGACAGATCATTTATATGCATTATCTGATGTGTCCAAAATGCTGCCCTATTAAGAGAGTTACTGGGCAGCCAGAAGAGAATCATTTTTCAAATCTCACCTTTGCTTTCACTAAGCAAAAACCATCACCTGTACCTGAAAATCTGTTACAGCTCGGAAATAACTCACTATAAGCATCATTCTTGCTCTGAGCCTTCAAACACTTCAGATAAATAGACATTAATAAAGATGGAAGCTGTTTTAGGTGCAAGACCTCAAATAAGCCCAAAAGCCAGACTAACCAAAAATATTTGTATTTTATTTTGCAGGTGTACCAGTCTTGTCATAAGGAGAGGATGGTGGAAAGGACAGAATTTTGGCAGCAGTTTCACTTTTGAGAATGTTTTATTCTCACTTCAAGCTTAAATTAGTTGGTTCTCCCCAGGCACAAGGTGGGAAAGAGAGAGGAGCTGGTTCAAGCAGCGATAGGGGCTCCTTACGGAGGGAGCTGCCCACTGATCAGCCTTCCAGTGGGAGTCCAGAGGTAAATGTGCCACGGCTAGAAGCACAATAGGTGTCTAATATTGGTCTTTATTCTAATATTCCATTTCCTCTTAGAGTGAGAAGTGTGATTCTTCCAGTATAAAACTCTCAAGATTTCCTTTTTATTGATCAGTCCACTAAACGCACTATCTTTTTGCTTTTTACCTATTGTAAATATTTATTCGTGAATAAGAATAATTAAGTCATATTAAAACGGCCAAGAGCAAAAGAATTGTGTCAGATACATGCCTTCTCCTCCACCTGGATACTCCTCCCCAATTTCCCAGCCCATTGAAATTCTGCCAGGTCAAACACCAACGCCCCCATGAATCGTCCTCACTACCAAATCCAGAAGGCATCTCCACCTCCTCCAACAGCTCCAGCCCTTTGGCCCTCTTTTATGGACTGCATCATACCCCGCATTCAGTTACTTTGTTTAAATCATATTGATCTTCTTATATTGAAACCCATTCAAGGAAGAAACCATGTTTTAGTCATTTGTGTGCTGTCCCCCCTAAATCTAGCATCCATCAGATATAGATGGAATGCTTGATGAGGACATTATCAAACACAATGGAGTGGGTGGAGTAACAATAGATGCTCGCTAAGCTCAGGAAGAAAGGTGAGGCTTATTAACTGCAGGGGGGGCTGTTTCTGTTTTTGTTTTGCTGAGGGGGTTTTAGAAGTTTAGGGTAGAGCTGCATTACTAGAGGTAATTTCAGAGGAGTGGAATGTTGCCAGATGTGGTTCTCCTTCTCCACTACTCTCCCTAAAACCAAGTTGAACAAATATTCAAAGAATTTTTATGCGAAGGAGCAGCAAATTGTTAGCATCTGTGGTGTCCACATGTCCTGGTCCAGCCTTGTATTCAAAGGCATTGACTAAATATTATTTGTTGAATAAGTGAACAGTGGTAAATCATCATAATGTTTCTAGGGATGTTATCTCCAACATTTTCAGAGATGTTTTTGCTGTTCTTCAACAGAAGTATTAGTAATCCTCCTAAGAACTAATATGCAAAGAGACTAATCTTATTCTTCCTACTCTGAAGTTTGGAAGAAAATTAACACCTGCAATGCCCTTTATACAGTATTACAGTTTAGACCATTTGAGCAATTTCTCCAAACTCGTACAAGTTCTGGAGGAACCAGGGACCTGTGTGGAGATCCATCGACTAAGGTGCCCCATCCTCTGTTCAGAAGACTACCTGATATCTAACAGTCATTTTCATTCAAAGATAAAAATAAAACTATGAAATAAGTAAAGTCTATTATTCTTTCAACTAATTAAGAAAAAAACTACCTCTATTCCTTCTTTCTAGAATGATAGATTCCTTAGCCCAAGGTAGTATAAAAATCAGTTTGGGGTTATTGCAACAGGTTCCCTTTCTGCCTATAGACTTATAATCACCTCTTTCATAGGCAACTCTAGAAGAAAAAAATATTGACCATAGGATGATTTTGTGTGAAGATGATTAGACAGATACGTACCGTGCTTAAACCAATATGGGTACGGGGGCAGATGGGACTTAAACTCCTGCTTCGACATCGACTTACAGATCGCACCGAATTCCACTAAAAAGAGAGAAGAATAATCAATAGTTTGTGAAAGGTCACATGGCTTAAAATAATATGCACATCCCACAGAACGAGAGGTTTTGCTGATATGATTACAGTCGCCCATTACTGGTCATCAGCACGACGTACACTCCTTTCACTTCCCATAGCTCCCCAATATTTGACAACAACTTTAAGGTATTTCTCAAATAAAATCCCATTTCAATGAACTTTGGGATATTTGAATTCTTTGTGCTAACAGAATTTTGTTTTGCTGAGTAAGCTGTTAGAAATTACATTCAAGTTTGCAAGTGCTAGAGAATGCAAGCTCCCTGTGGGTGGGGATTCATGTGTTTTGTTCATTGCTGAATCCCCAGCACCTAAACACAGTGCTTGGGTCATAAATAACTATTCAGTGAGTAAATATTGTTGAATGAAATGAATTAATGAATGAGTAAGTGAATCACCACTGCTGCCCATCTACTCTCTAACTAAATGAATGAATAACAAGAAAACTATATTCACTATAATGAAATTTCACTAGCAAAAGCCTTCTTACAAATTTCCCTTCATTCAACCCTTTCCTTTTCCTACTTCTTCCTTTTAAGGTATTCTCATTTTGTTTTAGGAGTTTAAACTTGGGCAAATGTTGGTGACATGCTTGATGGGAGAGAGACAAATTAAAAGGCAATTGCTATGGATGTAGAACACAAGAATAGTGACTATTTCCTCTCCCTCCCTTCCAAATTGCACTGTACCCAGTCTACAATAAGAGTTTCTTAACAGAAGGTGATTATTGTAGGGGCAAGGAGCATGTTTTATGAGCTCATTCACTGTAGAGCATGTATGCTTGTCAGATCAACACAACCCAATTTCTATGGGCTCAATTTTCATAGACATAATATTTTATTGAGACACTATTAGCTATCGTGGTATGTTTAAGCTGCAAAAAACCCTTTTCTTAAGTTCCTTTAAAGAACACTACTCCCCTGTGAAAAGCTGCCATGAAGCAGTTCCCCTGGACCCCAGTTCAAAGAGAATACGAACAGAAATCAGTCAGATGGTGGCTTTGCTCTGGACTGAAGAGCTTCACTTCAGAATTTCCTTAACTCTTTCTAGGAAGGGCAGGGTGAAAACTCCATAACATGAACTATACAGAAGAGCCAAGCACCCATGGCCACCAGTTCCAACAACCAATCCCCGCCACAACACATACATGCACTCACTTGCATACCTAGACTCCATTTGGAAGGCTGCCCAATTATAAACACGTTCAAAACATCCTACAACCAATGTATATAGGAAGCAATCTTCCAAAACTGATTGCCTCCTCTGTCCCCACCTCCTCTGCCCTCTTTTTCTCTATTCCTCCCCTCCCTACACATCATACCAAGGAGAGAAAAACAGGGCACATTCATCATTTCCCAAAATGGAGAACTGTTGGTAAGAATTTGGCATACTGTTTCCTGAAAGTGAATCATTTTTATACATTTAGAGTTACAGAGGGCCTCCAAGAAGGTGAGCTCAAAGGGCTTTGCCCTTATAATAGCACAATATTTCTAAGATGGAGGAGGCCAATATGACCAGTTCCATCTTATAAATAAAGCAACAAAGAAATTACTGCCAGGAGATCATGAAGAATCATGGAAGAATCAAAGAAGAGAATCTGTTCTTTTGCAGCAAGTCCCTCTCCTCTCCTTCATATGACATCTTATCAAACGACTCTTTATGAACTTCTTTTATAGAATCTCTGGGTTTATAAATATTCTCGAACTTGTGAATCAAACACTTGGGATGAATTGTCACTATGCAAGGCCACCGTACAAAAGCCCCTCTCTTGGTGACAGCTTCTCCCTTCATAATGACATTGTCATTCTCCATGAGAGCAGGCCACACGTGATAGAAGACCAAGGGAGCAGTGAAATCGGAGTCATAGCTGCGACGGTACCTGTTTTAAACACACAAGAGAACAAGAAAGAGAAGTTAATCAATTATGTAGCATAACTGGGGAGGGAGGGGACCTCAGTGTAAATTTTCACATCTGATTGTGCTCAGATCTATATAAATATGGATTCTAATTGTGTTGTTAAAGAGATGGTTGTGGGCTCTTAGAATAGGGACCAGTGATAACAAGGACCCAGCATGGACTCACTAAGAACAAGTCATGTCAAGCTAATCTTGTTGCTGCTCTTCTCAGGATTACAAGAGGTGCAATTCAGGGAAATGCTAGAGATGTAGAACTTCTGAAGTCCCATAGGCTTCCTACAGGTTTTCTCGTGCTATCTTTATGGACAAAATAAGAGAAATATAGGTGGATGATTAACTCAAGTAGCTGGATTGGAAACTGGTTCAATGAGTATATCCAGAGGGGGGTAATTACTGGGTCAGTGAGAACCTGAATGAAGGTGTGAAGTACTTTCTCTCAATCCTGTGGTAAATCAACATGTTCATCAATGACTTGCATGAAACATAGCAAAAAACATTCAAAGGTGGGGAGTGGGTAGGAAAAGAAACAGATGGCAGTACCAAAAAATAGCTCAATAGGCTGGAACAATAAGCTGAATCTAATAAGATACAATGTAATATAGATACATATGAGGTCTTGCAATTGAGTCTAAAAAGCATTTAATTGCACCAATAGAGGTGATAAATGGCTTAATCACAGGACAAGTAAAAATATAAAAGATTTTAGTTGAACTCAAAATGAAACAACAGTGTTATATGGCTGCAAAAAAAAAAAAGAAAAACTCCTACAAATTAGCTGAAAATAGAGAAGAAGATCAGAAAGGGTGTTAGTCCCTCTAGGCTGGTCAGTTCACACTAGCAGACTATGTACAGGGTGGACACTTTCTTAAAAAGGAATACTCAGAAGAGCATGGAGCACAGGCCAAGGAAACCCGTCTACTTGTGAGGAAGTCTCAAACCCCCTTCATATGGAAAAAACCTGAAGCCATGAGGCCAGAAGGAGGATTTGAGTAACTGCTTTGTAATGTATGAAATCAAATCCAATCATTATTAGGACCTCCAGTCTCAGCTCCACAGCCACCCAGGAGTACCTGCCATAGAGGGTCCCAAGAGGCCTCCACGGGCACGTTCCCTCTGTTTAAATGCCTGTAAGCAAGGAGGCCCGCCAGAGGTCTGTGAAATGTGCAGATTCCATAAACTAAAATGGGTGAATATTTCTGAGTGGTGCTATGCATCCTCTAAAGGAAAAAGGAATAAAAGAAGAGGGGTGAAGACAACATGGTCTGTAAGAGAATCAAAAAGATCCAAAAGCAGTGTAATTTTCTAATATCCAGCTCTGCCATGAATGGAGGCGTGCTGGGAGCAGTGATCTGAATGAAACTAGAAATGGCAATGGCAAGAAAATATGACACGTTATAAGGCAATTGGAAATGCCATCATTGTGATTTCATAAGCGAAAGAAAGGTATATGGTCTCCATCATCCACAAGCTCGCAGTGATATTGGGCCACCACCAACTCATAACCCTACAGCCTGAACAAAGACCCAGACAGAGTTAACATTTCGTGACTGCTCACTACACGCCAGGCAGCATCCCAAGCACTTTATCTGAATGATCTCAACTAACCTTCTATAGCCCCAGGAAGTTATTATTTCCCCCAGCCAACAGAGAATAAACCAAGGAACAGAAAAATTAAGTAACATGTCCAAGATGGTACAGTTAATTAGTGGTCGAACCAAGATTTGAACCCAGGCAGCTTGACACCAGAGCCTCTGTCTTTAACCACTAGCTTGGCCTCCTCCCAGGTAATCTCCAACTATATCCTAAGATCTCATAAAGTTTCAGTAAAATGTTCTAAATTAATTTAACTTCTAATTTATAAATGAAATATTATCATATAAAAATCTAACAGTCCTACATAAAAGATTTGGTAGAAATCTAACAGTCCTACATAAAAGTCTAGAACAGTCATTCTCAAGTGTTAGTGTATGTAAGAAACATCTGGGTGCTTGTTAAATTGCAGATTCCTGAGCCCCACCCCAGACCTACTGCATAAAATATCATGGAGTGTGATCCAGGAATCTGCATTTTTAACAAATATCTCCAGTAATTCTGATGCAGGTGATCCATACCCCATACTTCGAGAAACTTAGCTTAAATAATATGATAAAAACCATTAAAACCAAAAAAAACAAACAATCCAATTAAAAAATGGGCAGAGAATCTTATTCCAAAGAAGACATACAGATGGCCAACAGGTACATGAAAAGATGCTCAACATCACTAATCATCAGGGAAATACAAATCAAAACCACAATGAGATATCACCTCACACCTGTTAGAATGGCTATTATCAAAAAGACAAGAGATAAGTGCTGGTAAGGATGTAAAAGGGAACCCTTGTGCACTGTTGGTGGGAACGTAAATTGTCGTAGCCACTATGGAAAACAGTATGGAGGTTCCTCAAATAATTAAAAATAGAATTACCATATGATCCAGCAATCCCATTTCTGGGTATTTATCCAAAGAAAACGAAAACACTGATTCAAAAAGATATATGTACCCCCATGTTCATTGCAGCATTATTTACAATAGCCAAGATATGGTAACAACCTAAGTATCTAAAGGTGGTTGAACGGATAAAGAAGTTGTGGTACATGTTCATACACTGGAATATTACTCAGCCATAAAAAAAAGAATGAAATCTTGCTATTTGCAACAACATGGATGGATCTTGAGGGCATTATGCTAAGTGAAAAATTCAGACAGGGAAAGACAAATACAAATTTCACTTATATGTGAAATCTAAAAAAAAAAGAAGCAAACAAACAAAAACCAAGCTCACAGATACAGAGAACAGATTGATGGTTGCCAGAGGTGGGGGTTGGAGGGTGGGCACAATGGGTTAAGGAGGTCAAAAGGTACAAACTTCCAGTTATAAAATAAATAGGTCAGGGGATGTAATATATAGCATGGTGACTATAGTTAATAATATTGTGTTGCATATTTGAAAGTTGCTAGGAGAGTAGATCTTAAAAGTTCTCACCACAAGAAAAAAAAAATTTGTAACTATGTATGGTGGTGGACATAAACTAGACTTATTGTGGTGATCATTTTGCAATATATACAAATATGAAATCGTTATGTTATACACCTGAAACTAATATAATATTATATGTCAATTATACCTCAATAAAAAAATTTTTTTAAACAATAAAAAGTAATACACGTTTGTATTTATATAGCTCCTTTCTTTTAAAACATTCCAGACAGGCTCCAGGTACTCATTAGTTCTCCCGAAGATCAATATGTTCAAAGGAAATCATAACATCACCTCTGAGTTACATTTGACTGAGAAGGAAAATGACCCCAGGGGAGGGCCTTGCCCTGTAGTACAGAGAAGTAGATGGCAGGGCCTGGAATACAGGCAGTATCTGTTGATTTCCCCACCCAGAGTTCTTTTCCCTAAATTGTTCCCAGGGAATAGAGACAAGATCATTTATTTATAAAGAATTCCTTAGCTTCTGCTTCTATGTCTCTTACTTGCAATCATTAAAAACTTCTCCATCGGCCCCAAATGCAATATCTAGGGGTGGTTCTAAAGTCTGCATTGCGAAAGCAATGCAACATATCTCCTGGATGAAGTTACTGAGGAGGCAAAAGTCAACTTCAGGAGGGAATGAAATCTTGGGATTGACATTCATGGCTCGGATCACATCCTGAAAAACAAAAAGATGGCATCACCGTGTTACCAACCTGTGACAAGAAACTCTGATGATCCTAAGGACATTATGACTGCTGGGAGGTGGGAAAAGAGCCTGTGAGTCACAACAAGTTAAACTAGAAAAGGAGTGCATATATTAAAAGGAGAAAGACTTGTTAACAGAGAAGGAGAAAAGATGAGAGTACAAATGACGCACTAAAGGCCAAGAGAGTCTCCAAGAAAAAACCCTTAGTAGCTTTTATTTATTATTTCCTTATTGTTCTATTGTGAACAAGTAATATGATGTGCCAACACAGAACTTTGACTTGTTCATAATCTATAATAAGAACAATTATAATAACTTGCTTTTATTGAGAGTTTACTATGTGCCAAGTCTTGTGCTAAGCAAATTACCTGCTTTCTTTCATTTACTCCTCTCAAGAACTCTAGGAGGTCATGACCATTGTTCCTCCCATTTAAAGATTAGAAAATTAAAGCACAGAGAGGTTAAGTAAATGAGCAAGGTCTCACAGCCAGTAAGTGGCAGAGCCAGGATGTAAATCCACATCTATCTGTCCCAAAGCCCTTGTTCTTAAGCACTATAGTAGTCTATCTTCCAATCTTAAGGTCCTATCTAAAGAATACAACTATAAAGTTCAGAATGTTCTTCCCCCATAAAATGTCTAAGAAAGAGATAGCCAATAATTACTGGTTCTACAAAGTAAATTAGATGCTGCTCATTTTTACCCTTCCATTACATAGAAGCCATTCTAAGCACTGCATGGATTTCTGAGTTATTAGTATTCAGTGTAAACAATAGCAGCAGCAAACCAGCCCCAATAACAGACCCAACACTTACGTTAACACTGCTTTGGGAATCATATAGATCAAGATGACAAATGATATAATCCGAGACAGCATCCTCAAAATCATTTGACTCCACATAAGATGGTGTCAACGATTTTCTCACACGGATCTTGAAATGTCTGAATGCCATTTTAGCTACATGGAATGCCTCCTGCACATAAAAATGCAACAAATTTATTTGTGGGAGGAGGTGGGGTAAATAAGTCCAAAGCAAGGAATGAAGAAAGAACACCCATCAAAAATTCAACATCAGAGGCCAGCCTTGTGGCATAGCGGTTAAGTTCGGCACCCTTTGCTTCAGTGACCTGGGTTCAGTTCCTGGGTGTGGACCTACACCGCTCGTCAGCCATGCTGTGGCAGTGACCCACATACAAAATAGAGGAAGATTGGCACAGATGTTAGCTCAGGGCAAATCTTCCTCAGCAAAAAAAAAAAAATTCAACATTATATTGGTCTTCTGATAACTAAACACAGTGGTTGAAACTATTTTTAATCTGGGAGAAAATACATATCTAAATTTTGAAAAGTACATAAATACATATATGACTATCCACATTCACTAATTTCAAAACAGTTGACCATTGTTCTGGTAGTCCTGAGTGTAGGAAGCAGGATAGTGCAGAGGTTCAAAGGAAATAAATCATCTGTGGTTACAGAAATCCTTGAAAGGTACTAATTGATGGTATGATCCCAGAGCAATATCATATTACTGATCAAGAAATAAGAGAAAATTGTCAGTCTAGTGTTTCCGTCATACATAGACACGTATCAAGTGTCTGGCATGTTTCCTGGAACATATTAATTCAACAAATGTTTATTCAATGCCTGTTATGTAGTAGGCACTGGGAAAACTCAGTTATGCACGAAAGACACGGCCTCTACACTTACAGAACTTTAACCAACTCAGTAATTAATTCTTAGTTATATAAACCATGGGTTGGCAAACTTTTTTCTGTAAAGAGACAGACAGTAAATATTTTAGGCTTTGTAGGTCACATACTGTCTCTGTCACTTTTTTTTTTTACAACCCTTTAAAAATGTAAAATCATTCTTATATTCTTAGTTCTTCAGTGTTATTTCTCTTAGAAATACAGGCCAGGGCCAGATATGGTCCACAGGTCATAGATTGCTGACCCATGGTATAAATGAATAAAAACAGGATAAAGTTCAGTTGATTGTGATAATTCTGCTCTCATATCGATGTTCTATTTTACTTTTTTAATATTTAACTGTTCTCATAATGGACTCAGTATCTCAATATAGTACCCATAGAACGAACATATTTGCTTTGGGAATTAAGGATTATATCTGAGCACTTTTTAATCTGCCATACTCAAGTAGCCACTCAAGTTAGCAATTTTAGCGACTACTCTTAGTTAAATAAAGAGACGAGTTAACACAGTCACCGTCTTCTGGTTTTTTTAAGAACAGAAGGAAACCAATCAGATGACTGTAATAATATATCCACTGTGTGTACATATTACAAGATCAGTGCAAATCAACTTAGTATATATACCACTCCCCATTTGAGATAATCCTACATTTATGGATATTTCAACAAATCTCTAGTCGATATAAATATTAATATATATGAATAGTTACTGATGGTGAAAATGATTTATCCCAAATATTTGTAATGGAAGGAAGGGAGGGAGGGAGGGACAGAGGGGAGGAGGGACAGAGGGAGGGAAGGACATGGAGTGGACAGATGGAAATTCCACTCTCTCTCAGTGAGATCAGGATCTACCAGTCTTTTTAAGCTGTACTGTTCAGTTAACCAAGCTGCTGTCTCCCCGCGACGCCCAAGGGCCTCCGAAGTGCAGCCGCACGAGTGTCACATACCACTGTGGCGATGTAGATGATGCGCTGCACGGTCTCAGCTTTGTCGATGCAGCGCCGCAGCATGCACTGCGCATCCAGGCGGCCCTGGGAATAGGCGTCGCTGAACCGGGACAGGAGGGCAGCCTTGCGCGCCACGCTGGACAGTTTGGCGCGGTTCGGGGACGGGCTCCTGATCTTCGCGACTGCGGTGGAGGGGCTGGCTGACCGGCTGCGGCTGCGTCTGTGCGGGGCAGGGCTAGGAGACCGGCTCCTGGTGGACCTGTTGGTAAGCAAGAATCAGCCGGGGAAGCGCTTTGCTTCACTTCTGTCTCTCATGCCTGGACTCTGCTTCTTCTCCCCACATAAACTGAAAATAATACCCAAGAGCAATGGGCCCTTATAGGCCTGGAAAGCAGCTGCCTTCATGACCTCCCCACTAGGAGGTCTCCATAAGGCCTCAGACAGGACCACAACCAAGAAACAATACCCTACATTTGCACGGTGAATTAGAATTTATAAAACCCTTTCACTCACTCAGCACCTCAATTTATGCTTTAAGCAGCCCTGTGAGGCCACCATTGATTGTTGGCCATTTTACAGATGAGGAATTTGAAGGTGGGAAAAGTTAAGAGAGGCGTCCTAGTGAAACACAGCTAGCAAGAGCCAGGGTTAAGAAGTCAGATTTTCAGTATTTCTCACCTCAGCCTTGGGGTACTAACACATCACAAGAGCCTTATGGTATAAAATGAGATGAACACTGAACAATGAGGAAGAAGACCTGCATTCTCACCCCAGCTCCACCATATCATAGCAATGGGACCATTTGCAATCATTTCTCCACTCCAGAGCCTCGGTTTTCACCTACATCATTTTTGCCTATTTCAGGAGGAGGGGTGGTGCTGGGAGATCAAGTGAGCTAATACATGTGGACGTACTTGGTAAATTGTACAGCACTGTATCACTGAAACATATGTTGCTACCAAGTACAGAGTGAATTATCAGACTAGCTAGCCCAAAGGAGATGGGCCCCCAAAACGGGAAGTTTTATAGAAGAAACTATGGGGCAAAATATAGTGCAAAGCAGACTCTCTAAAGGGAAAGAAAAAAAAAGTCCTCATTTCTAGTGTTTGCCAGTTTCCACAGTGCAACTAGTACTGCCACCATAGCCAATTTCAAGCTATCAGTGTGACATCATTGAACTCAGAGTTAGGCAGAAATACCCAGAATCGGTTCTTGGGAGGCAGTACAAGCTGGCACCAGCAGGACACTGGTGGGGTGATTCCCAAAAATGAAAGACTAAGGTGACATTTAGGGGATTGGGGACCGGGGGTGAGGGTGGCTTTGATAGTCTGAATCAGGGCATGTTGGGGGTGGTAGGGGGTTGTTAGCAAGAACAAGGAAAATGCAGAGACTCCAAAGAGAAACATCCTGCTTTGTCCTTGCTTAACACTGTCGGAATGACCTGTCTCAACATTCTGTGCATCTGTAGAAAGGGATTCACAAGACCATCTGCGTACTCCATCAAACAAAGTGAGATGTAAAACAGAAATACCCTACGGTACAATGGCAGTTGGTCATCCCTGGAGAGAGGACTCCTAGGCCTCAGAGAACAGGACCCTCCTATTATGGAACATTCTTTCAACATGGGTAGCACCTCTTGCATTATAGGCCCACGCAAATCTGGTTTTAAGCCAAAGAACTTTCCTTTTGCATATCCCTGTTTCATTCCTTAAGTTTCAGTGTTAGCCCAAAATTAATTAATGCCCAAGTACTGGCAATCCAGGAGGTGTTTTCTCTCTATGGAAGGGTGCAGTTAGAGAAAACCATCCCTCTACAATTCAAAACTTCCCATATTATTAAGGTTTGGGTTCAGAGCGTCATTTTACTTTTTTTTTCCAAGCCAGGCTTTTATTACTAACTCAACCAAAGGAGCTTAAATGAAAAGATCTGTGAGAATTTGTCAGACCTTCCTTGGAGGGCAGATTTTTCAGCAGACAGAACAGCTATCTCGTCTTTCAGCGTTCGGAGCTGTTGCTCATAATCAGATACCACTTCCACGCTCCGCAACTCTTTGTTCCGCCTGTCGGCGCCCCGCTGCTCTGAGCCCCACTGCTCTGATCTCCTCTGCTCTGATCTCCTCTGCTCCGAGCTCCTCTGCTCTGAGCTCCTATGCTCCAAGGTTCTGTGGCGGGAGTCCTCCTGGTTTTGAAGAGATTTAAGCCTGAACAGAAAGAAAAAAAAAATTTTTTTTTTGAAAAGAAAGAAAGAAAAGAGAGGGAGGGAGGGAGGGAGGAAAGATAATAAGCTACAATTGGCATACTTAACAACAGAGGCTACTCTACTTAGCATGCCATTATTGCATTGGAAAACTCTGATGGAAATACATAGGAACAAACACGAATTAGCAAAGCGCAGAATTGCCAGGATCAGGGTGCTATGCTGTGTCTGCAGCTTGCATGGAAAAGGCTCCTGAAGAAAGGATATGCATTCACATCCTCTAGCAAAAGCAGAGCGGGCCTATAGTCGTACTGTTCTATACTGGCCTGATCTTAACTGTACAAAACTCTGGAAGCCTTTGACCTCCAAAACCTAGTCCAGAAGCTGGTCAAAGATATACTCTCCTATCCTCATTAGCTCTTCAATTCTCTCAACAGATGGAATATGGGGAAAAACTACCATGGAAATTGAATAACATCCACAATAGTAGGTGGAAGTGTGGACCTGTGAAAATAATGTATTACAGAAACAAACAAAGCTTCAGAAGTAAGATTGGCATCCTCATTAAGATACAAAGAGGCATGGCCATCATAAAACAGGAGCAAAACCCGTAAGATGCAAACGTGGTGTGATGAAAATGACAATGGTGTAAGATGAAAAGGTAAGGGATAAGATCAAGAAGGATGTAGAGAAGCTAAAAATGCAATAGCAAAATTAAAAGCTGCCCTAGAAACAGTCAAGAACAGAATCAGTGCTACAGGAAATCACTGAGCAATATGATCAATGCGTGTGAGAAGCTTTATCAAATAGGAACTAAGAAATTAAAATGATGATGAGAGAGGAGATAGAAAATAGAACAGTGCTCCAACCTAAAATTTATGAGTCTTGTTGAAGAAATCAGAACAATTGGAATACGTGTAAAGGCCATAGAAAGGTATTCATATATATATGTACATACATGTATTTTAATTCAACTCCCATTTGCTCTTTTGTGGGGAAAAAGTCAAAATTAAGATTCAGGAAGGTATAACCTTAAAGGATCAGTGTTTATTTTCTAGAAATTTCCCTTCTAGAAATTCTCTTCTAGAAATTTATCTTTAGAAGATAATCTGAAATTTAAACTACGATTTACCACAAAAATTATCACAATGTTATTTCCAATGTTGGAAATTAGTATCAAAGTAAATATTCAATATTAGGGAAATACCCAAATGATGGAACATGATGGAACTATTTAAAACTAAGTTCTGTGGAGTTCTCTACTATTTTTTCTTAGTAATAAAGAAAAACAATGTTAAGAAAAACAATGAAAAAATAGAGTCCAAAATTGCATACTTAGACTTATTTTATAGTCTTAACTATATTTTTAATGTTTAATTGGAAGAAATATCAAATGGTAATAGTAACTGGCTCTGGAATTATGAGAGGGTTTTGGGGATCCTTTATACTATGTTGTACTTTGAAATTTTTCTATAGTAGATAAGTAATGTTTTTGTAGTAAGAAAAATATATAAAATATTAATAAAAATATTGTTGCCTTTCGTCTTTGATTAAAAACAGATTCTTTCATATTGTAATGGAGCACCAAAAAAGCTAAATTCAAAGATTAATCAGCAGGCTGCAATAATCCTGTCATTTTTTTTCTTACTGCTTTCTTAGCTGATTTATTTCCTCCTCTGCAGCCAAAAGGGATATGGCCGATCTGTTCTTGGTTTCTTCAAGAGTCTTTTCAGTTGTAGCCAGACTGTAAGAGAAATCAGTAACTAAAGACAGATTTTCCAAAATTGGCAGACTTTCTAAATCAAGACATAGGGTCTCTTGGGAAATTGTGGCATATGATATAAATTCAACATAAACAAGATCAAATTATAATACATCTGCATTCAATTAGATGATATTGCAAATATTATGGTGCACTTGTATGCAAAAACATGCTAACATCTTTCTCAAAGTCAAACACAAAGAAATTACAGAGCTACAACTCCTCCTATGTAATAATTATTAAAATTAGAATGTAAAAGACAAAGAAACTTGTAGAATTCCTTCTTCTCACTCTCCTAATTCATCTGCTCTAATTACAGCAAATCCCCAGGTTGCCCCTCTCTATAAAATCTCCGTTTTTCTGCGGAGATACCTATACTGATACCTATTCTCATTACTTTGCACTATAGAGCTGCCTTCGACTTAATTTTCCCAGACTTCCTAAATATAAAAAAAAATTATTTGCCCACCTGTGAAGAAAGTCCTCCACAGTAACACTGAACTACCAAGTATTTTGTGTCTTCCTGCCTCTGACTTCCACCACTTATTGAGCATAATTTTCCTGAGTTTTCAACGTAACTTGGTCATTGTTAGTTTCAAGGACTCTCTTCACTGTAGGCAAATCCTAATAAATTATACTATTTCTTTAGGTCTATTGAAATTTAAAAAGAAATGGGAGTGCAGTGGATGACATTAGATGAAGGCCAATGGCTCTCAATTAAGTTGTCCTAGTACAGTGGGGGATCATGGGTTGGCAAAGGTTTCTTGACTTCTCTGACCCTACTTTCCTGGAACATCCAGGCTCTTTCATCACAGTCATCCTGAGGTTAAGAGAGGGCCACTGCTATCTAAACTCACACCAGTCTTCCTCAACCTTCGAGGGCCACACCAAATGCCACCGCTGACTCTCTCAAGCAAAGTTTGTCTCCCCTTCTCCCAAGCAACTCCAATGCTTGATTCACAATTATAATCACATTACAAACACACTGTGAACTATGTGAGGACAAGGATTATGTGTTGTTCATCTCTTTATCCCGAGGACGTAAAACAGTGCCTGTCACACAGTAGATATAAATAAAAAAACAAACTGAAAAATGAATGAACCAAATACCTAAAAGCTAAAGTAAAGCCAAAGTATCAATAACTTCACAATAGGGCTACCGGAGGTTGAAAGGGAATTGCTGTGATTTAACTCAAATGTGAATGTTACAGGTTTTTAAAAGTATATATGGGAAAATGAACATTTTTATCAAAAGAAAACTGTAGAAAATAGAACCAAGAAAGGAAGGAGAGTATGAACAGGAATAAAGTAATTTTTTCCTCTCTCAAGACATGGCATATGTGTGAACTCATATACACACAAGCAAACATATGTGCTAATTTATCACCCTTGGGTGACATACAGAGAGAAGAAAGGGAGGTACATTCATGTGCCAAGCATTGTTTTAAGCAGGTTAACATAGTTCAATTTTTTGTTACAGATTTATTCATTCATTGAGCAAATTCCTGAGAATTTACTATGTGCCAGGCATGATGCTGGGTGCTGGGGACACAACAGGTCAAAATAGCAATACAAGACAGTGACCCCTTGGAGCTTCCAGTCTAGTGGATTATAAATTTGCAAACAAATTTTTTAAAGTTTCAAAGTGTGGTTAGTGCCATTCTTGGATCATTGTGGAAGAGAATTAAAGGAAGGAGAGAAGAAAGACCTTTCGATGTATAGTGGTCACAGACAGACTCTGAGATGTCACATTTAAGCTGAGACCTCAAAGATCATAAAAAGCCAGGCATGCAAAAGCCAGTGGAAGACTTCCGTTTTTCTGAAAGAGCAAAGGCTTCAAGGTGAGGAAGCAAACAACAGACTAGGTGAGGAGATTCTGGCATGAGGTGAACGTGGAGCAAGAGGTAGGGCTCTGAGAGCCCTGGGAAGGAGTTTAGAATTTTTTCCTAAGTATAAAAGGAGGCTACTAGCAGCTTTTAAGCAGGAGGGTAGCTTTAAATATTTGCTATGTGGAAAATAGATGGTAGCAGAACAAGAATGAAAGCAGGGTAGCTGGTTCGAAGGCAGCTGGTTGAGGCAAGAGGTATCAGCACAAGGGCAATGGTAGGAGAACAGAAGAAAGGGACAGTGTGGGAGATGTTTAGGAGGTAGATTCAACTGGAGATTCTAATAGATTGGATACAGGAAATGAGGACAAGTGAGATTCCTAACCAAAACCCAGGCATAAAATCTAGCTGTCTTCCCCTGTCTAGGGTTCGTCAAACCTGGGCAGACCTGTCCCATTCAGCACTGCATTGGAATTTGCACCTTTGGAACTGAGTCACAACCAAACTGGTCTCCACCAGGTGAGACATGGGCAACCTCCTTGGGCAGGCCACCCGTTCCACAGCAGGTAGCACCCTGGCTTTAGAGACAAGTAGGCAGAGTAAGAGAGAGAGAGGAGAGCTGGCTACCATAGAAAGTGGGGAAGAGCCTCCATCATCTGTGATGCCTTAAATAAAAAATAGAATAAGAAACACAGGTGGGTTAAAAACAAGACAAAACAAAAAAAACTAGGAAATCCATGGTAAAGCAGCAAGCACTTTCCCGGATGCAACTTTCAAATGAGGGGGGCAAAAGTGTGTATAGAACACAGTGCACACACAAATGAGAAAGAAAACAGGGCAAAAGGTATATGAAAGGGTATATGGGTATTCTGAGGACTATTGCAAATTTTCTGTGTTTGAAATTTCCAAATAAAAAGTTTTTAAAAAGCATGTCATCATAGTTTCTTCTTATTCCATGGTGCCCCTTATGGGAAACTGCAGATCCATAGTGATAAGAGGGAGGCAGGCATTCCTGGCTCCTATTGGTGCTGATAGAAGCCAAGAACCAGCAAAATCTCAAAGCCCTGCCTTACAACTAGAAGCAAATGTAAAGGCCTGGCCATCAGCAGCAGCGGCAGCCAATGCCCCAGGAAATCTAACCAGATAAGTCACAACTTAGCACCCATCAGCACAAGACTCTAGTGCCCAGGTGGCACCGAGGCAGCAAGAACCCAGAGGACAGTACGAGACCAAAATCCCCTCTCCTCCAGGACCAGGAGAGCATGCAAGCATCCCTCCACCCCTAGATACCAATGTAAGGGAGGAGGAGGGCAATGAGACTCCTTGAGAGGGCAAACACAGCCCCTCATGGAAGTTTGAACTTGGAATTAACTGAGTATTTACACAAAAAGAACTACAGTAAACCAGAAAAAAGTGGCAAATTTAAGGATCCCCCTCACCCCGCTCAAAACAGCTGACGTACATTGAAATGAGTTGTAGAAATTCAGAGGAATCATGCTTTTTGCACATCACATTTGTAAATTTTAACTGCAACAGGTATAAAACTACTCATTGACAATGGTTCCAGTTGGAGAAATGAATGGGAGTGTGTGGAGGTAACTATATGTGTGTGTGCAAGCACTCACAAAGAAAAATATCTGGGGTAAAATATACCAAAATGTTAACAGGGGTGAGCTAACAGGTGATTTTCATCTTTATACTTTTATTTGTTGTGTGCGTTTTGAGAAGGAAATTTGCATTACTTTTCTAATAGAACAAAACTAAATCAGCAGAAATGTTTTCCTTAGAAGGAAATCTCATCAGAGAATAAGGCAGAAATGCCACACCCTATTCCATGATACGTCTTAACTAGTCAAAAAAGAATTCCATGCTGGGCCGGCCCCGTGGCTTAGCGGTTGGGTGCGTGCTCTCCGCTGCCGGCGGCCCGGGTTCGGATCCCGGGTTCGGATCCCGGGTGCGCACCGAGGCACCACTCCTCCGGCCATGCTGGGGCCGCGTCCCACATGCAGCAACTGGAGGGATGTGCAGCTATGACAGACAGCTATGTACTGGGGCTTTGGGGGAAAAATAAATAAATAAAAATCAAAAAAAAAAAAAAAAGAATTCCATGCTGTCCTGTACGTGTCAGCAGTGGAGCAACGCTGTGGTAGGAGAAACACCTTATTGATGGGTTTTTGTTGGTGTGTTGACTGCAGCTTCATGCACATTTGTCTTTCTTCTTCAAGTACAAATGCAGTTTGCAATTTTCTTTGCAGTGATTCCTTGAGCTTGCTACCCTGGGTTTGCACATTGCCTACATCTGATGTCTGTTGCTGCCTGGCATTGCTTAACTTTTTTTAAAATACATTTTTATATCTAATAGTTATTCCAAAACCTTGAATTGTTTATTCTTTAAAGAGTCTGATCTCTCAGGCAAGTATCCTCCCTAAATGAGTGCAACTGACAGGTAGATGCAGCCTGCTTCATCTTACTTTCGCTTTCTTTCTATTAATTTTTCTCTTTACCTGATCTTTCACTCTCTTTAACCCTTCCCCTTCTGCATCTTTTCTTACTTTCCTTCCAAAAGATAGACTTTCATTAACGATCTTCCCCTGTTTATAAATATGGGGTTCTATATATGGTTCTATGGAGAAGAAGGGGCTCCAGGAATGGAGCCGAACAGTTCAGGGTCTTAGGGACCATAATATAACGTCCCCAAATTCAGAGATACTGACTCCCAACTCACAGACACACACACACACACACATACACACACACACACCATATTACTTATTTATAACTGTCTACACTTTACAGGCCATTATTCTCTTTTCAAGCTTAAAAATTAGATTAAGATCAAGCAGTTCTTTTTGGAAAAAGATAACTTGCATTCCTCTTACTCGTCTTGAACCTGGTTGAGTTGATTACGAGTTGAGTTCAAGTCAGAGTCTAATTGTTGTATGTCCCGATCCCGAACACCAGACTCTTTATGTCTCTCCTTATCAAAAGTGTCCTGGAATGATACACAAATCCAAAACTAGTCTGAATACATGAAACAACATAGACAGATTGCGAAAACATTATGCTGAGCAAAACAAGTCAAGCACAAAAGAGCACATAATGTATGGTTCCATTTATGTGAAGTTCTAGTGCAGGCAAAATTAATCTAGAACAATAAAAACCACGAGAGTGGTTGACCGGGGGATGGAGGGAGGTGACTGGGAAGTGGCACAAGGGAATGCTCTGGAGTGATGGAAATATTTTTTGTCTTAATAAGATGTGAGTTACACAGTCAAAGTTCATCAACCTATAGATTTCACTATAGGTAAATTATGCCTCAATTTTTAAAAAGACATTGAAATAGCATCCTATATCTCTATACCCAGAACAACATCCACAGGGGGTAAAAATCTAAGAAGCATATATAAATCCCCAGAGAAAAAATTTGCTTAATGATAACTGATGTCTATAGAGTACTCACCACATATAAGCTGTTTCACATGCTTATCACATTTAATTCTCACAATGACCCTATTAGGTCAGCAAAAGCATTGTCCCCACTCAACGAATGAGGAAACTGAGACATAACAGGTTAGACAACCTATCCAGGGCCACAGAAGATGGACTGGAATTCTGTCCAGTGTCTCCAAGCAGGAATCCTTCAGCCACTACCTTATAAAGCCCTCTTGCTTAGAATAGCCTGCCTTAAATGCTTTAATCTTAGAAAGGAATTTATGTAAATCTATATAAATATTTAAAATCAAGATTACTAATGCTTTGCTTACCCAGACATAATGTTGCCACTGCCTTAAGCAGGGTATATGTTCTCTTTCCAGCCTGGTCTTCAAGTGTTAAACCACTGACACTGTCTCATGGAAACCACCAGTATCAACCACAAATTTTGAGACTATTTGTCAGTCTACCAGAATTGAGTTTTCTTCTTATCTTGGAAATTTCCATTAAGTTTTATTTCAATATTTCAGAATACCAAGCTTTCCCCCATCTGACGATCTCTTTCTCTGCAGAGCCCCTGTGGTACCCTAACTGTCTGGGTGACTGATTTGACATTTAAAAGCTACTATTTAATGCCTAGTGTGGGCAAGCAATGTCGCAGATGTAGACGATCATCAGGCCTTTTTGATAGCTGGGGAAGCAGAGGTTCATTGATTTGCCTGAAATCACACCACAAGTAAGTAGGCAAAGCTGAGATTTGAATGCAGGTCTGTCTTAAGAAAAAACTCAATCTGTTATGCCGCATACTACTGTAAACAGAAACTCACCTTATACCTGTGTCCCAATTCCCTAAGTAAAGTTGAGCCCCTCACTAGATGAAAACCATATCTCACATATGTTTGAATTTCTAGAGCCCGATCAGGATGCTGAAAGCCAAGGGCGACTCTTTAGCATCCTTACCTGTAGAGAGGGGACCCTGCTGTCAACAGGTTTTCCCAGGGAAGCAGCAGTAAAGGAGGTCTCCAGCCAAGGCAAAAGGCGTGATTTGATTATTTCCACCCCATCATAATGTCCTCCTAGAAGAATCCACAAATCAGGTCAGCAAGAGAAATCCAGCCACACCAGCTCAGTCAGAGAGCACAGAGAAAAGAAAGAAAAGGAGGGAGAGCTGGTGGGAAAGCAGAGGCCATTCTCACCTTCTTGGGCTGCTGTCGTGAGGATCCCAAAGAGTTGTCCCTGCACTTTGGCAACTTGTTCAATGAGTTCAAGGCAATGATTTAGATTTTGATTACATGAGTTTGTCTGCAAAGCAAAACAGTAGACATCAGTGTATTTCCTTTATTCTAGGACCCACTGCAGGTAGACAAGGGCCTCACTTTACACAAGGGCTATCTGGCTCTGGGATGCTCCCAGGGGCAGAGGCAGCTGTGTATTCACCAAAACATACTTTCCTTTCCTCCTGGGCACACAGCTAGACCGCTTTCCCAGCTTCTCTAGCAGTTCGTGGGGCCACATAGCTGAGTTCTGGTCCATGGGATGGGAAGTGATGTGTGCCACTTCCAGGTGTGACACAGAAGAAAACCTCTTGAGTGAGTCTCTTTTTTATCTTTCTCATCTGCCAGCCAAACGCAGAGGACCCAGCAGAGGACCCCAGTGGCATAAGGGATAGTGGAGCCACAAGATTTGGAAGGCTGCTAACTGAACACTTGCATTGAACTGTTATGTAATCGAGAAAGTTTACTTGTGAGTGTTAAGCCACTAAGATTCGGGGGTTGTTTTAATAGCAATAACTCTGACTCTCTACTCAATGGAACCCTGCAGAAAATTCTTACAAAGTGAATAGGTCTTTTGTAACACAATGCAAATCACCACTTCCTAATTTGCCTGCTTTATTGGTTCTTGTCCTCTACCTAAGTTCAATATGTGCATAAAGAACACTACTTGTTAACAGTAAGAAGGTATCACTGGGTTGAGGATACAATGGAGAATAAGACAAAAAGATGGCCCAGACTAGATGCAGGCCAGATGGCAATGCAGATTAGGGGCGGAAACAGGAAAGTAGTCAGTTACCCTGCAGTGGAATAATAACTCTTATAGAGGGGTGAGGACAAGGTCTACTCAAGAGCCCACTGTCTTGGAAAGTTAGGGAAGACTTCCAAGAGGAAGGGAAATCCAAGCAGAGAAGAAATTAGGCAAACCTGGGGAAAGGAGTGATTGGTTCAAGTGGTTGTAGCATATTCTAAGCAATAAGAACAGAACATGAAGAAGCCAAGAGGTGAGCCTTTTAGCTATTATTCTGCTTTTGTCATCTCTCTGGTGAGCTTTTACCATTTCCTCATTCGCCAACCCTCTAATTGAGTCTAACTCTAAAGGAAGGACCACAACTACAAGCAACAAACAAATCATGTGGGTGGAAAAATGCAGAGATTTATGTGTCACCTCAAGCCGTAATAAGGCACAAGTAGTGGGTGCCTCCTGGGCAATACGAATCCTGAGACAGGAAGCGGGGTTCAAGGAGGATGGAAACTGGAATGAAGAGGAGAAGTTCACATCACATACCTCCTGTATGCCAGGCACTATTAATGCTTTACATATATAAACTCAGTTAATCCCGACAATAGTATAGTACACTATGAGACAGGTGTACCATTATTATCATCGCCATTTTCAGATGAGAAAACTGAAACACGAGAGGTTAAATAACTTGCCCAGGTTACTTAGCTAGTAAAAGGTCAGAATTGATACTGGACCCCAAGTAGCCTGGTTCCAGAGTCCATGCTCTTAACTGCTAAACTACACTGACTTGTGGATCATGATTAAGCTGGAGTAGAAGGAGGACTGGATGACGTGACAAAGAGTGAATGGGGAGGGCAGTCAGGGAAGGCCTTTCTGAGGAGGAGACATTTGAGCTAAGTCCTGGCTGCAGAGCACTGGAGAAAGAGCACACCAGGCTGTGGGAACAGCAAGGGCAAAGGCCCTATTGCAGGAAGGAGTTTGACAACCTTGAGAACCAAAAGTAGGTGCATATGCAGAAAGCACAAAAGGTCAGAGGCTGACTGGACAGATCCTGGAGGGCTTTGCAGGCCTGGTAAGGAGCTTGGATAGAATGGACTCGTCATAACTTGGAGGAGCTGCTGGTTTATATTCCGTGCCTGGTAAATAGTACCTGGTGACTAGCTCTGCTGTAGCACTTATTTCTGTTGCAGCCATTTGTTTCTCTGTCTCATCCTTCTATCCCCTTCTCCCTAAGAGACCATGAGTTCTTTTAAAAAATGACTTTGTCTTTCTCTTGTTTGTACCCATTGCCACTAGTATCCATAGCAAATGGAAGGGCCCAACAAATTTGATGAATGAATGAGTGACTTAACAGCATAATATTGACATGATCAAAACATTTGGAACCCACAGCCTAAACAGCTATCTCCATTCCTTCTCATTGAACCAACAACTCCTTGTCCTTGCTCTTTTACTCCTGCTCTTATCACAAGGAACTTCAACTCTTCCTTTATAGCCTTTTGCCCTCTGACTAGATGACACCATATGCTAAGTGAACAGAGAAGGGGCTTGGGGGGCAAGCCAACCAGAGTGAGTATCTCAACTCTTGCCACAGTTCTGTGTGATCCTGCACAGGTTACTCAACCTCTCTGAGCCCGTTTCCTCTCCAGGAAAATAGGGATAATGCCTTGCAGAGCGTTAAGAAAACTAAATCAAAATAATACATATCCAGCACCTCAGTAAATAGCAAATTTACAGAGACAGAAGGTGTTCAACAATCAGTACCTACAAGGTGGTATGCGGTATTGAAAGGAGCAATGAGTTTAGGAACAAGGCAGACCTTTGTTAAAATTTGGTTCTCCACTTATTAGCTGCATTCCCTTAGAAAAGACATTTTAAATATGAGCCTTTGTTTACTTGTGTTTAGGAGGTGGTTGATCTCACGAGCTAAAAACTTAGGTGCAGAGTAGAGGAGGTACATAATAAACATAAATATTATTGTAGTATTATTACCCTATGCTCCTATGCCTCGCCCAGTGCCTGGTACAAATTACGTGTCCAAAGGAATGTTTGTTAAATGAGTTTGTACACACAACTTAAATAACAGAAGAGAATATACTATGTCAGACAGTTCCTGTTCCCAAGACATGTCACAACACACTACACCTTCCAACACAAAGTATTGCACAAGATACTCAAGTTGCAATGGAGTCATATTGTTCTACCAAACAATTACTCACACAAGATAAATAGAGCAAAGATATGAACTAATCATACTGTCTCCTAATTCCAAAGCACAGACTCTCAAAGTTCATTCATTCATAAATCATTGAGTTCCTATTATGTAAGGTCTTGGGCTGGCAGCTCAGGTAACAAAAAATAAAAAGTTGCCTGTTGTCAATGAGTTCACCAGCTGGGGAGTGGGATGGATAGTGGGAAACACACACAGGGGATGAATAATTACCTTAGAGTTTATTAAGGGCTCTAGGTGGGTAGTGAGCTATAGAAGAAACAAAACACACTCTGGTGAAGGGTGAGGGGTAAGAAGAAAGGAGATTTCAAGAGGAGGAACAGCAGGTACCAAGGCTAGAAGCAGCAGGGCATATTATAGGGGAAAGTGGAATATGGAGTCTAGACACCAAATAATGAACGACTTTATTTGCCACAGGAAGGGCTCTGGGCTTTATCCCATCACTGAAAGAGTTAATGGGGCAAGTAGAGGAGGATGGGTACGACATGGTCAGACTTGCTTTGCATTTTACAAAAATCACTCTGGCAGGAGCAGACCAGATAGAGTCTGGATTAGAGAGTGAGTCTGGTGGGAAGGTAGGCAGTTGTAACTGTCTGGCTGAGAGATGCTGAGGGCTGTGGAGATGCCAAGGGTCCCCTAAAGATCCTTCCCAGCCCCAAATCACACCTGTATGAGCCAAGGTCCCACTGATTCTAGCTTTACTTGAGGAGAAAGTCAAGAGGTTTGGGAACAGGTAAGAGGTATGAGAGGTGGGATACTGTTTTCGGACAGTGTAGGGGTTCTAGAGGACCTTCAGATAGAGACATCTAGTAATACTACCTAACAATTATTGAGCAGTTACTCTATGCCAGCCAGACACTGTGCTAAGAGCTTTAAACACACTGTTTTGTTTACTCCTCTTAACAACCCTACAAATTGGATACCATCCATCACCTCAAATTCACCAAAGAAGAAAACAAAGATCTTAAGCAATTTGGAAGAAACAGCGGTTAAGCTGGAACATAAACCCATTTCTGCAGGTTCTGACACTGGAACCAAGCTCTCAACCACGATGATTTACCAAAAGCAGTTAGAAAGTAATCTGGATCTCAGAAGAGAGGTAGGGGTTGGAGGTGTGGCTTTGGAAGCAGTTAGCAGATGGGAAGAGCGGCAGCCATATGCAAAGATGAGATCACTCTATACTCATGAGAAAGAGTATAGAGTAGGGAGACACCTGAGGGCAGAGCAGAGGGCAATTTTGCTATTTCAGCAGTGGGCGGAGGAAGAGGGGCCAGGGAATGAAAAACAAAACAAGAGCAGTAAGAAATAAGAGGACAACCAGGAGGAAAGATGAAGAAGAACCAGGAAGTAAAAGAAGGAGATGGTTTCAGGAAGCAGAAGGGCGTGGCTTATTCTCTGCTTCCCTCATGCATTTATATTCTCAACAAATCTTTGTGGACGGGGCTACTATGTGCTGGATGCTGGGGACACAGTGATGAATGACATAGCCTTTTGCCCTCAAGGAATTTATAGTCTAAGATATACATCTAAATAAATGCTAAACCAGGTACTACTTGCTGTAAAAGTAGGTCCAGATTTCAGAGGTGAGGCTCAAAAGAGGAAGCAGTAAGAAGCCAAGAAGATTCAGGAAAGCCTTCGCCTGAGAAGCTTTCTGAGTTCCTCCTCCAAGAAATTCTAATTGCTCTAGTGTGGGGCATGGAGGCATTGAAATTTTTAAAAAGATTTCTAGATGATTTTTATGTGAAACCAAGATTGAGAACCATGGCATTTGTGGGAAGTGAGAGCAATTTAGTAAGTCTCAACCAGCACCCCCTAAAAAAAATTAATGAAAGGGAAAACAGAGTATATCACAATTACTAAAGCTAAGAGTTATTCGTGAAACTTTTGCTTCAGTTAGATATGCATAAGGGTGTATGTGTGCTATGGTGTGAAGTAAAAAGCATTGATTTCTGTGTGTAAGTTTTAAAAACACTGCCCTAGGGGATAGTGCCTTGCCCGTGTTGAGAGTCACTGATATGGGCAATGAGGAGCCACAAAAACGATTCCTCAAACAGCT